AAGTCTATAGCCAAATTCATCATGACCATAGCCAGCGAAGATGCACTGCCTCGTCTTGACATCTAATTTAGATCTCTCGTCCTTTGGCACATGCATAAAAGCTTTACACCCAAAACATGCAAATGGTTATAAGAAACATCCTTACAGTACCATACTCGATTAGGAACATCATGTAAAGCAGTAGCAGGTGATAAATTAATTACAAGTGTAGCAGTATACAAAGCCTCACCCCAAAAAGATTTAGGCAAATGTGCTTCTGAAAGTATACATCTGACTCTCTCCACCAATGTCATGTTCATCCTTTCTGCAAGGCCATTGAGCTGTGGAGTTTTGGGAGGTGTCTTCTGATATCTGATGCCCTGTTGTCTACAATACTCATCAAACGGAACAAGGTATTCACCACCATTGTCTGTGCGAATACACTTCATTTTCTTTCATGTTTCTCTCTCAACGGAAGCATGAAAATGTTTAAAGACCCCAAGAACTTGGTCTTTATACCTCAAGGCATACACCCATAGTTTCCTTGAGCAATCATCAATGAATGTCTCAAAGTAACGTGCACCACCATGCATCTTTGTCTTCATAGGACCACAAACATCTGAATGTACCAATTCAAGTAACTCTGATTTTCTGAAAGATGGACGACTCTTGAAGGACACTCTGTTCTGTTTCCCAGCCAAGCAGTGACTGCACCTTTTTAGATTTGCATCCTTCACTCCTGAAGGAACATTCTTATTGGCTAAACAATCAAGTCCCTTCTCACTGATGTGACTGAGTCTTCTATGCCATAATTTTGAACAACTATCACTCTCAACTGCATTGACCGAATCAATAGAAACTGAAGCATTGGTCCAGTATAAACCTTAACACTTCTTCCCACGAGCCACAATAAGAGAACCCTTAGTGAGTTTGCATTGACCATCACCAAAGGTACTCACATAACCTTCATCATCAAAGACACTAGTAGATATCAGATTTAAGCAAATATCTGGTGCTTGTCTGACATTCTTCAGCACTAACTTCATCCCAGTTTTGGTTTCTAGGACAACAACTCCAATGCCAACAACTTGCCATCATTACCCATCTTCAATACCCCATAATCACATGGAGTATAAGATGTGAAGAAATCTTTCCTTGATGTCACATGGAAAGATGCACCACTGTAAATAACCTAACTTTATTCATCAAAGGCAACATTAAACAAGTTATCACAAACAACTATCAGATCACTCGAAGTCGTGGTAGCAACATGACGATCATTTTCACCATCTTTCCCTTCTGGCTTGTTCTTGTCTTTGTTCTTTAACTTGAAGCAGTTTTTCATCAAGTGCCTTTTTTTATGATAGTAATGACACTCAACATTTTTGTATTTTGATTTGGACTTGATCCTACTCTTGCCCCTTTTATATTCACCATGATCTCTATCTTTGGTTCTCCCCTATTTTCAGTAACCAAGGCATCAGATTTTGAACTAGATGTCTCATGAGTCCTACGCCTCACATCTTCATTCAGATAGGCAGCTGACATACTCCATAGTTACTGTACCACCAAGAGCAGAACTAATTAAAGACACATGAAGATTTTCCCAAGAAGCAAAGTATTCAGCAACCAAAGTCCCAAAATATCATCCTCGAACTTTACACCCATGTCTGACAACTGATCAAAACACCCTTGAAATTCATTCAAGTGGTGAGAAATAGAAGAACCGGTCAGAAATAGAAGAACCTTCCTTGAATATCAAATTCATAGCTCGCCTAAGCAAGTACAACTTGTTATTCCCTGTTTTTATGCATACAAGGATTCAATCTTGTCCCACAAAGTTCTAGCATGAGATTCATTGTAAATGTGATTCAAGACATTATCATCTACCCACTGACAAATGAAACCACAAACCATTTCATGTTCAAAAGCCCACTCTTCATCACTTTTTGACTATGGCTTCTAAGTAGCAAACACTGGTAGATGTAGCTTTTTCACAAAGACTAAATCCTTCATTTTACCCTTCCATTTGCGATAGTTTGTGCCATTCAAATTGATCATCCTGCTGTAATTTGGCTCCATCATTCAATCAAGACAAATAACAGATTACTCCGGTGCTCTGATACCACTTGTTGGGAAAGCAAGAACACAAATACATATAAAATATATTTACATATGATGACTATACAATAGCATTACATATGTTGGGAAAGCAAGAACACAAATAACAGGATCACGTCATATCATTCTTTCTCTTAACCTGCGTATAGCAAATAAAACACACTACACGCTCAGCGGTAAAGTTGAGTAAGCATATCTAAAGCGTCGAACATCCTTCAATTCCCCTTTCATTTCCATTTCTAATGTTATTTTTTACCAATTCATTTAATGCTATTGTATAGTCATCATATGTAAATACATATTTTATATCATTGTTGGAAAAAAATTGAAAGACTTAGAAAAAATGGAAAGGAGTAGGAAGAAGCTACAAAGAATTGGAAAAATATTAGTTTTTTCAATCGAAAAAAAGATCCTTAATGTGATAAAAAATACTGATGTGCGGCTGAATGGATGATCAAAAAAAAGAAGGGAGTGATAACAACACCTAATAGATCGTTCATGTCAAATTATATTTTACAAAGACTAAACAATTGCAATAAAAATTTAAAGGCCATTGTCTAATAATATGGGCTCTTTTGTTTTGAGTATTTCTTTTCTACCATAAAACTTGGGTTCATTGTATAATGTTTGAACCTCTGCAATATGCAAATTTTATAGAAAATATGGGAGAACTATTTAACTATGATTAAAAAGTACAGAGTATTTCATATTCTAAAATACCAATATGGTTATATGAATATACAATGTCAAGTTATATGCAATGTCAAAGAATGTGAATATACATCTAATGTCAAATACCAATATACAATGTCAAGTTATTGAATTGTAGCGCAATGATTTTATTTAAAGATTAAAACATGGAAGATTCTATTTTGTTATAAGTTTAATATTTCGGTCATATTTAGATAATTTTTTTTAAAAAAATAAATTTAAGAAACGTTATTTTAACATCAAAAAATATTGATATAAGCAAGTAAGAAAATCTATAAATTTTTAAGTGCACTTATTTCACCAAAAAATCACCCTTTGGTCTTATCAAAAATACAAAATATACAAAAATACTTAAGTTGAATAAAAACGATTAGATGAGAATAATGTAATGAAATTAAAAGAAATAGTGCAAGAAACAATTTCACATGTAACTATGTTGCAAGTATGTGAACCCAACATGTGCACATAACAGTGTTAGAAAAAAGTAGACGACACACCATTTACTACTATACTAATTAGGGAATAGAAAATACAAGTAAAGAAAAGAACTCACCGGCCAAAAAAGTACTCCGGTATCAAATTGTACTCTATCTTGTCGAGTAAAAAAATAATACTCTTTACGTCCTATAATGATCTTCCCGGTTCGCAAAATGAAGAAAAATTCCAAGTTTTTTCAATCTATTTTATTTAAATATTGGTATAGAAATAAAAAATAAAACATACATATTTAAAAACTACACCAAAAGTTCAACAAAACAATTGGTGACAAGAATATTTTATTTTATCATATAGGCCATGAAAAATCACAAATAAATATAAATTCCCGTGAAGTTGGAATAGTGCTCTGGGAAGATCATTATGGGACGGAGGGAGTATTACAATTCACCCTACTTAATTAAAATTATTTTTAATCTAATTCATTTTAATATCATTGTAAAAATCAAAGATTAAGTTTTTATAATTCGTATTAAAAACTTCCTCTCTCTGTCCTAGTTAAATTAAGAGAAATATTAAAAACAAAAAATAGTTGAAATTTATTCTGAAGAATTTTAAAAGATATACTCCGTAGTAAAAAATACGTACAATAATTCTTTTTTTTTGGATAACCCAAAAGTACATTTCTTGGGAGGTTTCTTGGACATTGTAAAGAAAACGAAAAGAAGTCTAATATATATAAATCTAATAGTCTCTCCTCATATTGCCAATTGGTTTTAGAACGGAACCTCCATGAACTTGTGTGTTGGGCCAACACACATATGCGCACAAATCGGTGCATGTGTGTCCTCACACGTTATCATTGACCCACCAAACTTTTATCATAATATCAGAGCAGGTTCGGTCTGGATTTATTCTCGGTTTGAATATTTTACATTATTTTTATAAGGACCTGATCGGACCTATCATGTCCTTTAATTAACTCATGTCTACTTTAGTGTCCTTATTAAGGCCGGCAAGCCCAGATAATACTATACTCTTTCCGTCCCAAAATAACCTTCCTATTTTCTTTTTCAAGTTGTTCCAAAATAAACTTTCAAATCCTTAATAAAATAGAATAAGTGGTCCATATTGCCTCTCTTTTCTTCATAAATCTATATAGTGAAAATATATATATATTACGGAGTAAATTTTAGAGTTGTTCTTACGTGATTTTAAGATTCATGTATGAAATGTGAATCTTTTCAAGCTTTTCATTATATTGTTCAGAAAATAAACCTATTTTCTTTTTACAAAAAACTTAATTAAATTTTTTATGATATTAATATATTAAGATCCATAAAACAAACATTAACCTTAAAGTCTTAAACTAGGTAAGAATTTGCCTAAATTTTAATCTTAGAATTAATCTATAAGATGAGACGGCTTTTTGTTTCAAAGCCACTCACCAAGATAGAACCCCAACATTACCATCTTGGACCATGCTACATACCCCAACCTTGCTACCAATCTTGCCTCCATCCACTTTTCTACCACATATTTATTTCTACTCATTCTCCACCCACCCTCTAATTTTAATTTTCTTACCTCTCTACCACATGTTTATGTAGGAGGCATGAGTGGTAGCTAGGGGGTTTTTAGCATTTTCCTACCATCTTTTCCACGGCCTACTAACACTACGCCTCCAACCAAAAGGCCCAAAAAAGTGAATTAATGAGTGAGAGCCCTCTCACCTATGGATACGTATCAATAATACACACCCCATTCCACCCCACACCCGCATTTAATTACTTCTCTCCAAACACACCACCACGGCACCACCCCCCCTCCCTCTCTCACTCCTATCCTAATTTCATTTTCTCTCCCAGCTAGCTAGCTCCGCCGCCGGAATCCGCCAGACATGACGGAGAAGGAGTGCAACATCCACCAGGAGGAGCAGCAGAAGAAGATCCAGCGGCTCTGCGGGTGCCTCTGCTCCCTCCTCATCCTCTTCCTCCTCGTCTTCCTCATCACCTGGGCTGTTCTCCAGCCCCACAAACCCCACTTCGTCCTCCAAGACGCCACCATCTACTCCTTCAACGTCTCCGCCCCCAACATCTTTTCCACCACCCTCCAGGTTATTCATCCATTCGATCCCACTTACGTTTTTCTGAATAAGACCAAGTATATATTTTACACATATTTTCTTATGACCTCACATATATATGTCTGGTCATACTCTAAACATATAAGTCATGAACTATATTTGTTTGATCGGTTCGATATTTTCGATTTTGATGTTACAGGTGACGATCTCGTCCCACAACGGGAACCGGCGGATCGGAATATACTACGACCAGTTCAACGTCTACGCCACCTACCATGACCAGCAGATCACGTATAACACCGCCATCCAGCCGGTATACCAGGGCCACAAGGACACGAACCTCTGGTCGCCGTTTCTCTACGGGAACAACGTCCCGATAGCGCCGTTTATCGGCCCGGACCTCCGCCAGGACCAGGACACCGGCGCCGTCTGGATCACCGTCAAGATCTACGGCCGCGTGAAGTGGAGGGTGGGGACCTTTGTGTCCGGGCGGTACCACCTCCACGTCACGTGTCCGGCGTACATACCCTTCGGCAACTCCGCCAAAAACGGGGGAGTTGTGGTGGGAGACGCCGTGAAGTACCAGCTCTCTCGCAGCTGCGCCGTCAGCGTCTGATTGTAACGGAGTTAAGCGTCGGTCGGTCGACAAGTATATGTTTTTCTTTTCTTTTTTATTTACTCCGTATTATTATTGCTATAGCGCTGTTTCGTTTTGTCATATTCTGGGAATATATATATATATATATATATATATATATATATATATATATATATATATATATATATTTGGCGATGAAAATGGAAGGGGGCGGTGGGTGGGCGATACCAAATTTTCAATGATGACCTGTAATTCCAAATAATTGAACTTTGATACTTGAAAAGTTTGATACTCCTTACTCTACCTGTTTACGGCAGTACCAACTAAGGAGGGTTTGTTTCAGCTTCTTAATGGTTCAGATATCTGAATAGTTCAACATTTATTGGTTTAGACTGTTTGTTTCAGCCTCTTAATGGTTCAGATGTCTGAATGGTTAAGAGATTTGCCCCTGAATGGTTAAGTATTATACAGAGTCTGAATGGTTAAGACCTCTTATCTGAATTAATCAGACATTTGCCTCTGAATAGTTAAGCAATATACTAGCTCTTAATGGTTCAGACCTCTTACTGGTTCAGCACTTAATGGTTCAGACCTCTTACTGGTTCAGCACTTTCCTATTCAGAAGTTGTCAAACAGCCCCTAACATTTCATACTCACTCTGTCCCTATTTTAATTATTACCGAAAATGAAAAAAATCAAACTTTTTAAATTCATTTTATTTAAAAATTGAGATATAAATAAAAAATAAAAGTTATATTTATAAAAATTACATCAAAAGTTTTAAAAAATAAGACATAATAAAAATATTTTATTTTATTAAATAATCAATTAAATGGCACAAATAAAAAAAAGTTAAAATTGTAAACAATGTAATCAATTGTGGGACAGAGCCGAGTGTATTTATTTATTTAAAAAATATTTTATTCTATTTATTTGATAATAAATTTATCCATTTTTCATCATTACAAACATAATCTAAAAAAATTTGAGGACCCTGCCCCAGTACCCCCATCCTACTCATTGCTATGACTTAACCCTCAATCACATTTTTTTTCTATGACACCAGCTCTAATTATTGGAAAACTTATGATGCTCTGATCACAAAAATTGATGATTTATGTCTTCTAGCTTCCGGTAAACCACCACCCGGCCTGACTCGAACTCATCCCATAATATTGCACATGAAACCATAATATTTTTAAACCGGGTGGCGATGGGCTTCAAACTTGATCGTGACCTCTTGTGAAAGAATTATGAATTGGGAGAAAATTCTCTTGTATTTCTTGTGTTTACAATTTACAAAGAAGTCATATATATATAAAGGATATGTGTGTGAGTGTGTGTTCTCACGGGCTGAGAATCCTAACCAATAAAGGAAACAAATCCCTATACAAGGAAACTACCAAAAACAATATATACGAAAATATATGGGAGAAAGACCAAAGTAGGATTAAAACATTGAAAATATACCAAAATAGGACTTCCATGTTTTTATTCCCGAAATAGGACTTACATTATCAAACATGGGGTCATATACATTACCAAAAAAGTATAGTTATGTGCACATGTACACTCCCACATTACCACAGTGCAAAGTTCTATTTCGGGAAAAAACATGAGAGTCCTATTTTGGTACTTTTCTCTATGTTTTAGTCCTATTTAGAGTGATTTCTAAAAATATATCCAAATATTCTCTTTCCTTTAACATCCCCTCAAGTTGAAGCATGTAATAAACAAATGCCCAACTTGGGAATAAGGAACTCCAGTCTTTTGTTGTTTAAAGATATTTTTTTCATTCAAATATCACATCTAATACAATAAATAAAAATAAAATTTTGAAAATAGAATGTTAGAGTGTTATCCCACATCAGAAGTTCAAGAGCAAAATATTCAGTATATAAGCTTTTGAGTTGAACTAACTAAAATATTGGATTCAATCTTTTAATGTGGTTTAACCTAAGTGCCTATTTACCCAAATCCAATTGTCTATATATACTCATCCTAAAGTCTATAATAGAATTATAGAAAAGTACAAATTTATTCATATTAGAGCCTACACTATATGAAATTAGCCTATAAGCTTTTACAAGTACACAATAAACTTATTTGGATGTATAATAGGGTGTTGTTTGTTTGGGTTGTAAAAATAAAGTTGGATGTGGGAAAAATTGGAAAAAATTAGAAGTTAGAAAAAAATGGAAGGAGTTGAAAGAAAATGAAAGGGGTTGAAAAATGTAGAAAAAGATAAAGTGTTAAAAAATTAATTAAATAGTCACTAAAAATAAATATGTAAGAAAACTAATTTTAGATAAAAAAGGAATTTATTTTTGTCCGTGTTTGATGTGGTATGATATAAATTTGGATATATGATGTTATTAAATATTAATTATATTTGAATATTCTCTATAAGTCGTTGTTAGAAAAAACTAGAAGAAGTTGAAAAAGCTAGAATAATTTTAAAAACCTGGGAGCGAGGAATTGAAAAAACTTAGACATTAATTTGTCAGTAAATAAATGTCACATTCATCACAGATTGTTTGTCCTGATTTGAGTTTTTATAATTAAAATTGATAATTTTTTATTATTAATCAAATAAAATTATATTAGATATTGATACAAACAATACTATTAAATTTGTCCTATGAAATACTTTTAAAATAAGTTTTATTCTAATTAATATTATTTAATTATTGATCAACCAATGATCATAATTAGCTACAAAATTCAAAACTGAATAATCAACCGATACCGCGTAAGTGTGAAGTTCAATTTGGTAGGACCGAAGCAAATGAATAATGTGATGCAATATGCCTCCCTTTCAAAGTCCACTAACAATTCAAAAGTGGATCGTATAAAATGACAGAAAGTTTTGTATGCTTGGTTAAAAAGAATTTATTCTCTTCTTACCCTTTTTCCTAATTTTATCAAAATACCTATTTCTAACTCTATGTTTCTTCTATACCACTCCATCTATTGGTCTGTACCAAAAAAAAGTTGAACGGTAGATTTCAGTCTTTTTCTGATGACAACGATTAATATCCCCATCCCCGAGGGCCAGATAGACAGACAGTCATTGAGAGAAATAACGATTAAAATTAGAGAATCTATAATGATCTATTGGATCCTAAAATTGATTATTTCTAATCTATTTGCTTACCCAAGCCCATGCCCTTTCTTTCGTTACGCCGATTGGCAATAGCATGTCGGCGTAGATGGAAGGAAAGACATGGTGCTAGGATAGAAACAATGAAATTAATAGAATGAAACAATCAATTTTATAAACAAAATATCATAAGTGCTCTAAAAAAGTCCTGATGGTGTAAATTCCACCGGGTATGGGAAGTAGGTAACTGGGTCGGGTTAGGGAGGCCTAACCGGGTAAATAAATATAAGCTTAATAGTAAGGAACACAACACAAAATTACCTAGACCGTGGTAAATCTCCCGAGTCCGAATATATTTCTTACTCTTTCTAGAGTGTACAAGATTTTATGGAAGTAGTAGTGAATGTCCTCTCCTCTCTCTATCACAGATTATTTATAGAGTAGAGGAGGCTCAATATGTGCATGGAAGCTGCCCACTTAAGGACAAATAACCAGACAACATCCATTACTGTGCAATCAGAATATATTGATTGAATACAAATCTAGGATGGTGCCAAAGGACTTTTCCACACTGATCTCTTGAGTGATGGGCGTGGGTCCCTCCATTGGTCTCCTAGATACTAGGGTTTGGGGGAGGCGGATTTGTCCAACCGTGATCCATAGATCGAAACTCAAAAGTGAGACCGGTCAAATTTGTACGGAGCCCGATATTTTATTCCTCAAGAGTCCAAGATAGTGACCGGTCTCCCAATCCGGGGGTGGCCGGTCACCCAATGTCGCACCCAAAAAGCGCCTAACGACTAATCTTGAAGACGAAGACCGTGATCGGTCGCCCTGACACGGTAGGTGACCGGTCACCAAATGCCACGCCTAAATGTCTCCACCGACCATCCCAGAAGACCAAGAAACGTGACCGGTCACCTTAGTCCGGGGGTGACCGGTCACCTTAGTCCGGGGGTGATCGGTCACCCACCGCCGTGACCCAAAATGCCCACCTTAACGAAGATGAAACGGTAGAACCGTGGCCGGTCACCTTAATCCAGGGATGACCGGTCACCTATCACCATTTTCCAAAGTAGCCGTCTAGTCGAGTTCGGAAAGAAGACCCGTGACCGGTCACCTTAAATGGGGGTCATCAGTCACCTAGCGCCATCCTCCGGATAGCCGCCTAGCCGAATCTGGAAGACCCGAACCGCCTCTGGTCACCCGACCTCATGGTTGACACGTCACTTCGGTATCGACGAGTATACCTGGGTATGTAATATACCCATCAATAAGCCCTCCACTTACCAGTTTTGTGAGAATCACCAAGACTGGGAAGTACTTGAGCGTGACCCATTCCCAGGAAGCGAAGCACCGTTTGTGTATTGGAAGCCAATCTCGAACCTCCCCCTAGCGCCTAGCACCGAAATCAACATAGTCTCATTCTTTAAAATCTTGATACTAGGATCCTCCCCCTAGCCTCTTCCTTGTTTGGATTTCCCCCCAAAACCATAACACAATTTTGAAATTCAAAATTCAAATTTTGAATTCTCCCCTAGCCTCTTCTTTGTTTTGGTTTCCCCCCAAAACCATAATATATACAATTTTGAAATTCAAAATTCAATTTTTGAATTCTCCCCCTAACCCCATTCGGCCACATGTCACGCCCATATTAGCCGAGGTGGGCGGTCCCTCCTTCTTCCTCTATAAATATATTCTTTCCCTTAAAAAATTCTTCACTTCTCACCTCCTCCTATTCCGAACTCGCCCGGGCCTCCTCCTTCGCTCATCCTTCTCTAGCTCGGCCAGGTTAGTTTCTTAGCCCTCCTAGTCTTCTTTTTATTCAATCAGTAGGGTACACCCTAGCGCCCTAGTCCCTTTCCTTCGACATGGAGAGTAGTCCCGGGTCTTCTTGTAGCGATTCTCAAAACGGGTCGGGATCTTCCAATTCCACCGGCTCCTCGTCTTCCCCCGGATCGGCGGTGCGATCCAACCCTAATTGACCTGGCCAGCCCTCCGTGGCCATGGTGGTTCCCGATCCCATGCCCCTAAATCAAATGCCTGGCCGATTCAAACCAGATACGGACGACTCGGAGGAGTTTGCCGCGTCGCTAGATGCGGTCGACTACCACGCCCTAGACTTTCGACCCATTCTTTGTATCCCCACGAAAATCACCAAAGTTTTATTGAATAAGGCACGGAGTCTGATGCCCTCGGGATACATCCTTCACTATAATGCCAACCATCAAAACATCATAGATCCCCACCGAAGACCACGGTTAGGTTTCCATCTAGCCTCCTTGGACACCGGGATCCTCTTCCCCCTTCGTCCCCTTCTCGTCCAGATATGCAAAAGATTCTCCATACTCCCGGGTTAGTTGACCCCAAATGCCCATGGACTACTAAATTGCTTCGCAAATATTTGCAACTTCAAGAAAATCACCCCCACCCTAGAACTCTTCCTCTTTATGTTCGAAGTCCTACCGGGTAACACCAACTGCTCCAGATTCGTGTACTTTCATTCTCGAAAAGATAAAGCCTTCATCTCTGATGTTCCACTCGGTCATAAAAAATGGAAGACATGGTTTGTCTTTATTGAGTTTCCCGAGGGCGAGTTCCCCTTTGATGGTGAACTCCAATGGGGAGACCGGCTCCCTGAGTCTAAAGATGTTTACCCGGCCGCCACTTCTACTCTTGAAAAAGATTGCGCGGCGTTGTTGAAGTGAGACCCGACCACCGGGAAGGCTTTTAGCTTCGGGAATTTACACCATCAAGTCCCGTAGTGTCACTTCAAGACAATGTTACCCAAAACGCATCAAAAGTTCAAATATTGTACTTTGCTGGTATAAAACATATTTTCACTTCGTATATTAGAGAGTATTTACAAAGTTAAGATATACTTCTCTGTGTAATTTTGCTCATCATTTGTAAGAACTCTGGGGTTTTTTTGGAAGAACTCTCAGATCTCACATTATCTAAAATCTACTATGGGGTGCTTAAAATTTGTGATTTTATACTCCGTCGGTACATTCTCTCAATTTAGGTGTTAGATTAAAGAATCTTTTACTTTGACAAATTGAAATTTTTTATTTAAATTTAATAAAATACTGATTATCAATGTAAAATTTAGTATTTGTCAAATAAAATGCTGATTATCAATGTAAAATTTAGTATTCCCTAGAGTATATTTTGGATAATATAGGACTTGAAAGTTATTACAGAAAATCAAGGGTGCCCTCAGAGTTTATTTAAGATAATGTGGGACCTGTGAGTTATTACCGGAAAATCAAGGCTCCGAAGTAGTTTTCTGTACTTTTACCATTACTTATTCTTACCATGTCAATCACAACATATCTATATACTCAGTAACAGTCTACTCATCATGTACAAATATTCACCCATAATATTAAGAGAAAATTGCTCATGGGTACCCTATATTTTGAGAAACTAACTGCCGGGTACCTCATATTTTTAAAATATACTCCGAGGTACCCTCTATTTTTAGAAACTAACTATCGGGTATCTCGCATTTTTAAAATATACTCCGGGGTACATCCAAATATACATTAACTTACCCGTGAAGGACATCCCGTCTCACTCTTCATCAAAGCCAGTTACGTACGCCATTAATTTTAAGAATTAGAGGTTTTGAATTCCAAAAATAACCTTAGTTTTTATACTTTAATGATAAAATCTATCGAGTTTTAACGAAACTTTCGAATGAAACAGAATGTCCCTTATGGGTAAGTTAATGTATATTTGGAGGTACCGCAGAGTATATTTTAAAAATGCGAGGTACCCGATAGTTAGTTTCTAAAAATAGAGGGCACCTCGGAGTATATTTTAAAAATATAAAGTACCCGGCATTTAGTTTCTAAAAATATGGGGTACCCAGGAGCAATTTTCTGTAATATTAAGGGTATCTTTATAAAGTCAACACAAAATTATCAATTCTTTAAATCAATTAAAAGTTGAAAGAAGAAAGGTTTAAAGGTACGCAAGGAGTATTCATTTCTTTTGTAAAATTTTCAATATGATTTTAAATATATTAATTTTATTCCTAATTTAATGATTATTAAAATAAATTCAATTAAACATGGTATACAGAAAATTTTGGAGGAAAAGAGTATATACACACTACACGAACGGGTAAATCCCCCACTTCTACTAATACTCTTCATAGAGAATTTTGAATTGATTGTTTCTTTGGGCAAGTAGGAAACAAATGTTGTGTGTAATTATGCACCATGGTAGACTAATGTTAATTATTTTGTAAAGCTTTACTACTGTTATTTATTTATTTATTGAAAATTGGATCGGAATTGCCGGATAATGTGTTACATGTTGGGAAATAAACACATAACACACAAATGTCTGCGAGAAAGCGTGAGAGAAATCTTTAACGTGGTTCAGTTTTTTAATCCACGACATCAACATGAGGAATTGAATTTCACTTGTGGTGCCAAGAATTACAAACACAAGTGTGCTATATATAGGAAGAGCCTAAATCTAGGGTTTCATAACATGGGTCGGGCTTGGCCAACAACAAGCCTCCATAGAGCCCAACAATCTCCCACTTGGAGACTTGAAAATCTTCAACTATCATCCACATAGAACACTTGTATATCTAGAAACATTCTTCTACTCTCTTGTTGAGCCTGCAACGGCCTTCTCATCAGTGAACTGAAAGGCTCGTTAAAAGTTAAAACTTCCCGGGGCTCCAACACATCGGCCACGGTTAAACCTGGTTCTCCTGACCCACAATCGTCTAGGCACCTTGGTTGAAGCACCACCCGTGCTCCCACTGCCACAAGTATCTCTGACTGGTCTCCGCGAACCTTTCCTCGCTCATTCATTCTAAATTTGACCTGTGGCTCTAGGTTTCCCACTTGCAAAGACAATCCTCTTCTGCCCACGAGATTTTGCGAACGAGATTTAATTTATCTTCTGAACTAGGACGGTCACTCCCTGAGACACTAACCTAACCATATACCACGAATATCTCTTCTTTCCACGTGCCATTACAAGATTTCCCTTTAAAACCTTCCACTGCCCATTTCTGAACTTCACCTCGTGCCCCTGTTCGTCCAACTATGTGACAGAAATCAACTTTTCTTTAAGACGGGAACCAATCTGACATCTTTCAAACTCTAGAAACCGACTGAGGTATGCAACACAATGTCACTCATGTCCGTCACATCAAGAACTTTTTCGTCTGCTATTTGTATCTTTCCAAAGTCTCCAATAACCAGGTTTCGCAATGTTTCACTGTTGTGGGTAGCATGAAATGAAGTACCAGAATCCATGACCTAGGAATCCACACTGCTCTCTATAAAAGAGATAAATAAATCCTCGTCATTCGCAGAGTCTTCAACAATGTTTATTTCTTTGTCTTTCGGGAACTGAATCTTAAAATACCCCACCTCCTTGCACTTCTAGCATGTTATGCCTGAGCAATCTCGAGTCTTCGACTGGCTTCTTCGTCTGTTCTTGCTCCCACTATTTCTATTATTCCTTCTACATCTGACGATATTCAGCAATTCACCCGAAGACTCTCTAAAACTACTTCTCATGATGTCCCTTCCAAGAACGAGATCGCGAATTTGATTGAAAGTGAATCTATTCGGTCTTAATAATTGGTAACCGTTGTAACCATTCAGGATCAACTGTCAATCTGTCATGCAAAGATGATAGCAATGGCAAAGCTTGAACTTCATCATCGAACTTAATCCCCATTGACGCAAGTCTGGATAAGATCGAATTCAATTTATTAATATGCCCGGTAACTAAAGTGCCTTCTTTCATCCTTGTGTTCACCAGCTCTCTAATTAGAAATGTCTTGTTTTTTGAAGATGGCTTCTCGTACATGTTAGACATCGCTACCATAATTCCCTTCGTTGTCTTCTCCTTCAGAATAGTGAATGCACACTATTGGTCAACGAGAGATGGATCACAAACACAGCCTTCCGATCCAGAACTGCCCAATCTACATCCACATCTTTTTGGGCTTGTCACCCCAAACGACGTCCAAATCGTTCTAAACCAGCAAATCTTCAATTTTTATTCTCCGCCAACTAAAATATGTACAATCAAACTTCTCAATTTTAAGCTTTCCATCTTCTGCCATCTCAAATAACTAGACGAGATATTCGGTACAACTAATTTCAAATCTAGGTAATTTCGTCAGAAAAATTCAGACAAATCCACAGCCCACAAATTAAACCATTCCAAACCAAACAACAAGCCCAAAAAATCCAATCAAAGCCCAAAACCAATCCAAAGAAAAAAAACCAATGGCTGACCAATTGAAAATCAATAGGCCCACTGCGCTTTTTATTTCTTCCTTCCGCCTTGTTTTGCAAGGGCTACTCACGGACAATCAACCGGCGGCGGCAAATCTGGACGGCAATCTGTACTGGACGTCACAGGTGGAGCGACTCTGGACAGAGACTGAACGGAGAAGACATGCACCTCTGCGGCGATCGAGACCTATGCTTGATTGAGTATCTAGTTTTTGCTGCGCACAACTGAACCAGCGGCTCTCACGACCTTGAATCAGGATCCTGACTCGCCGGCGCGATGGTAATTGCTCGAGAACTCAACGGCGGCTCGGAGATCTCCAGCGATCAGCAGTGCTCCTCTGTGCACGCTTGGACCAGCACCAATCTTAGATCAACAGCGGACGACGATCGGTTCAGAAAGGTAGCGGCTCTTCTCTGGTTCTTGATAGCGTTGTAGTGGCGATTCCTCTCATGACGACAATCTCAGGCTCTGCTCGCACGGTTGAACCCCGGGCGACAAATTTTCTAGCAATTTGTGCTCCGTTGAACTTGTTTTAGATTTTAGATTTTAGTTGAACTTAAATATATTCTATATTTATGACGTGGAAAATATAATTCTTCAGAACTAATACTATGTAAATTAAATCCACAAACATTATTAAGGGTGTGTTTGGTTGAGAAACAATACTTTCTAGAAAAATTTTGATTCCATTTTCTTGTATTTAGTAACATTAATAGAAAGAAAATATTTTACGGGAAAAATATTTACCCCCAATAGGGGGGAGATAATTTACGTTAGAATTTGAAGAAAAATAAATTTCATTCTCTCTCCGTCCACCCATGCCCCCCATCCCCCACCCTCTACAACCCCTTGTCCCACCCCCAACCTCTACCTCGGTCCACATACACTACCACCCCCATCGACTAAATTCCCAATCAGTGAAGGAAAAAAAATCATTCCTGTTCAGTGCTGTCAGAGAAAAAAAAGGAGTGAACGGTACAGGCTGCTCACCTTTCTAAAAAAATTAATAATGGGTAGATGACCATCCGTCTTCCCCTATCCAAAATCTTAACTCAACCCCCAAACTTTTGAAGAAGCAGCGCTGCTCACCTTTCGTTGCCAACCTCGTTGAACGTCGCCAACCGCGAGCACGCCGTCCCTCCGACCGTCTCGGGTTAATGGTACATACGGTACCGTTTTACCTATTTAAATTCCTAAAATTTCTAATTTAAACTTATATTTAGTAATTGAAATGTTTATGAGATATGTTGTGATTAAATATATGATGAGAATATAGAAAATTGAAAATTTAGATTAGATCTATGTTGAGAATTTTGAAAATTTGTATGTTTATGTGATATCCGAATTTTTTTGTGATATATTTGTGGATTTTTTCTAGTGCATTATATACTTTTGATTTGTCGTATTCATAAACTATAAATTTTAATTTCGTAGAATAATGAATTTTCAAAAAACAGAAGTCCATCCGGGACCAATTGTCCCCGATGTACTAGTCTTAGCCCTCGGCGAACATCGTAGTGATAGGGTGTGGCAAGACCGTGGGTTTTAGGACGTATGCCCGACGAACATCGTTGTATCCCTGAAATTCAGATTGGATATCGGTACAGTGATTTCCAAAGCCTTCAATTTGCGGTGGCACTACACAATATTGTGGAGCATAGACACTTTTGAACTTCTTCAAAGCGTTGCAATTATTGGTTGGTCACTACAAAAAACTGTTCAAATGGCGACGGAATAATTCCGTCGCCAAAGCCTTATTTCCGTAGGTAATCTTCGTAACGACGGAAATAACGACGGAATCTATTCCGTCGTTAATTTTTCGTTATTGTAAATGTGACGATGGATTTTTGATTCCGTCGCTAGTCTACGACGGAAGTGGCGACGTAATAAGCGACGGAACTCACGACGGAAAATATCCGTCTGATAAGTCGGGTTTGGGTTAGTTCTTTTTATTCAATTTTATGCTTTTTTTTATTTTTAGAATTTAATTTTTAGTTATTTTGCTTGGTTTTACTTTTATTCCAACTTTTACAATCTTTTAATTTTCTTTAAAAAAATAGTAGCTTTTTAATCATTTTTTTTAACATTTTATTATTGTCTTCATTTTATTTTATTTTTCCTAACCCAAAATTATCAGATATCTTATTTTTGGAGAAAAGTGTAGCAAAAGATCAAATTGGAGCTCAAGTTTAAAAGGAAGCAATTTAAATTGGGCCGGAGCCCAAACCCATCAACAACAAAATTGGCCCAAGACTCCATCCTCCTCTTCAGTTTCACGCACGAAAGAAATAGTCAGCGACTTCGACTTCTTCTTCGGCGATTGAAGGACCAATTTCTTCACGCTCCAACGTTCGGCTCCTTCAATTTAACGACAATCAATTCTCAACGGGAAGTAATTCAACAGTAAATTACTCCTTCTTGCTATAAATTAGAGCAACATCAACTCAAAAGAGGGTGTGGGGGGAATCGTACAGAAATAACAGAGCAGCGGCTCTTGCCGCTGCTATTGACGCAACCCACCTAAGGAGATGCAGACGGCGGTTGACCACGGCTCGCCGGCGTTCGACGACGGCGGCGGTGGCAGAAGCTCCGGCGACTAGTGGCGGTTTCTTCAAGCTCCAATTCTTCAATTTGTTCATCTTCTTCAACAAATTGGTAACCCTATATTTGTCAATTTCTTTTTCTTCTCCAATTTCTTTGTAAAAGGGTTGTTTCAATTCAAATTTACACTTTTTTCCCCTTGTTTGTGTTAGTTTTAAAAATTCCAAAATGGTTGGTGTTCTTTTATGGTTTTTTTTAATGTTATATTAAATCCCTTATGAATGAAATTGTTTCTTACTAGTTTCTTCAATTTTGCGCAAATTGATGTTAAATTGGTTGAATTGTAAATTTGAATTCATAAGTAGGTTGGTATGTCGAATTCTGTTATCATTGAAACTAATTTAGCTACATATTTTAGTTAAATGATTTTCGAATTCATACGTGAATCTCTTTTGTGACTTGTGTTTTGTAAAATTTTAAGGTAAATGAACTTCTTAGCCACATAAGTTGAACGTTTTCCTTAAGATTCGTTATAAAGTGATTGTTTAAGTTTTGGTGTTCTTGTTTGTTATTTTCATAAAAATTGGGATTGTTTAAGCGCAATAAACAACTCTTGATTTAATAAAAATGTGTAATGTTCTTTTATGTGAATAGAATACAGTTCTTATGCTTGAGTAGTTCAAGGAGACCTGCAAAATATTTTCATCATTAGACGTTAAAGTTTATTAAAGTGTATCAAATGTTCTTCATGAATACTTTGTGCATGGGAGTTAGAATGAAAGAAAGATTCGCTCTTTTATAAACTTTTTCATCTTTTGGAATCATTGTTTGAGCGCTGAGGTGAGTGGGGGTTCAAAGTGATCCAAAAGGCCTTTGAATCTTTGACTCCAGGACTTATAGAGAGTTGACGATCCTCTATATGTGGTCAAGGATATGAATCAACTCGAGCCTTTGAATTATTTTCTATTCTTAAGTGCGTAAGTTAAGTAATATATTGTCTAAGTGCCTATTATAAGTGTAATGTTCGTTTTGTGTTCGGTCTCTTTTTCATTCTTGTTTTGGGTTTTTGGCGGTGTTTTTTTGGGTTACCTTAGTTGGAGAAGTTGATTATCTTTTGAGCTTGTTTTCCCCATTTTTATTAGAAAAAACCAAAAACAATAAGAAAATATAAAATACCAAAAATATTTACTTTTACCCCCCCCCCTTTGTGTTGTGTTTCAGTTATATTATAAGTTCTTTGTTTATATAAGTTATAGTTATAAGTTTTATTATAAGTTTTATACGTCTTATCATATGTGTAGTAGTTTTTTTTATTTTATTTAGTGACAACGTGTTTGCATACTAAATTGGTTTTAAAAAGTACAAACTTTCTCCGTGGGATCGACCCTTACTTGTCCTAGCTATAGTTTTTGTTTGATTATATCTTCGGGGTTAGTTAAGGATATTTTATAAATTTTTAATTTGTTTTGGACCGCACGACAAGTCCTCAACACCGTCGCTAGACCGAACGACGGAAATAGCGACGGAATATGCATTTTGACCATATAGCGACAGAAATGCGATTCCGTCGCCAATTCCGTCGCCAATTTGACAGGTTACAACCAGGAAGCTGCTGTTTTTCAATTTTGCACACATACATAGCAAAGCTCAGAAATCGGTCGTAGTTTGTTGTTGTTAATGACCTTTACTTCTAATGGTTTGTCGGTTCTTATAAGTTCAGTGGTTACATGTTGATTTAAAATTTATTATAAATATTTTTAAGTTGTATTGTTAGTTTAGATTGAGGTGAATGTATTGGTATTTTGAATTCAAATTTATATTGTTCTTCAATTCTAATAAAACACTCAACAAGCCTGCAAACCCCGTCCCTCCTCCATCTCCACCGCCATCTCCATTTCCACGTGGGAAAACTCCTCCATAAAGTCGGGTCATCTCTTCTCTAATCGACAACAATTCACGCGCTTGGGAAGTTCTTTCATCTAGCTCTTCTCTCAACCTCCGGATCTCATCATCTCGAGGGTCCCACATAGAGCTGGTGCTAATACGTCTTGCCTCACTTGCATGCATTCGTGGTAGGCTCCGTGCGAGATCTCCAACACCATGAACACGATTCTTGACATCATGTCCTCAGACTGTAGATAGAAAAATCTCGTCAGGTGTCACATTTAAGCCTTCTTCACGAACTGCCTCCTGCATGGCTACGTAGTTTTGCTGCAATACACAAAACATACATGTATATATACTTTGTAACATAAAAGCAAAATAAAATGAGCAATATGAATTCACATTCAATTGAATCCAACGAAAACTAATCATTTATATATACATTATATATATTCATTGTCACTTACTGATACTTCTTCTGCCTTCTTATTGATGTAGGTCTTCCCATCATGTTTCTTCGTATGTGTGTGTGTGTACGAAGAGTACAAGTCAGAAGCCTTTCCACTTTTACCCTAAAAAAATAAAATATATAAATAAGTGAAAATACGTCACTTAGAACATTTAAATGTAATTTTTGTTAATAACAATACTTACAAGGCGCGTTTGAGTCTCGCGAAAAGACAATGGACCACCGGTGTGCGTGGCGCTAGCAGGGGCATTCTCGTCACCGCCACACCGGTTTTTCTTGTTTTGCTTGGTGGATGCCAAGAACTTTGGTGACTTCTAATACTGTTTAACAACACATAAATACAAGAATACAAATATATACACACAATTTGATGCTAAGTATAACATAACTCATCAATTCAAAAGATATTTAGAAATACCTCCTTCCACGATTGCGGTACAAGTGGCTGCACCTTCTCTGTTCCTTTCTTCTCATTCCTAATAGATGAGAGCCAGTCGGTGTATCGTCTTCTAGCCTTCGATCGCCAAACACGGAACATAACGCTATCATCAATGCGAGGGTCCCAAGTGGCATGTTTCTAAATTTAAAAAAAGAAGTTAGACCGGACATGTTAGAAAATATCTTAAATAAAATACAAAATATAGAAAGCATACATTTGATATTCGTATCTAACCAAATTTTACCTGAAACTCTCTCCAGTAAAAGTCCACAGTCGCGTCGCTTAAGCTCTTCCAACTACCCCCTGTTGGATCGAGCCTCTGCTGGAATGTGGAACAAATGATCCGAGCTCCCTCTTCCGTGAAGACGACACTACATGATATTATAATTACAACATTATAATATATATTATAATTGTGTATACATGCAAATAATAAGATATGTATGTAGAATCACCTGCCAGAGCGATCAAAGTATGCTACGCTCGGTCCAAGGTCCATAGCATCGCCATGCTCGTGCTCTATCGACTCGTCTGAGTCCATGCTCTCATCATCGTGCATCCTGGACTCATCAGTGGAACGTGTAAACCCTCCGGAAGAGGTGCTAGTGACATTCGTGCTGTGATGCCCAGTAGGCACTCTGACAGTGGCAGTACCTGATGCCCTCGCCGATGCCCTTGCTGATGCGCTGATGCGCTGCTTGATGCACTCGCAGATGCGCTGGCCGATGTGCCGCTTGATCTACCACCACCAAGGATGGCATGTCGCAACCTAGAAAGTTCTTTCCACTTCCCAGTATTGGACTTTGTTTGCTCTGCGTGACCCTTACCCTTATCTCCACCAGCCATTTGCAAAGAAGAGTAATTAAGGATTAGTAAAACAGTTAATAATATGAATACAACAATATATTTGTTCAACCACCTTTTGTATTAAAGTATATTTTATGATAATTCATCATCGGACATGAACACATTTTCGCTAGAGCTCTCATCAGTAGTAATTAATATCTCAACATCATCACTTTCTTCGTCCTCACTATCATCGAGATCAATCAATTGTGGAAATTCTGCAAGTAGTGGAGCTTCCTCGTGCGGTTCAACTTCAACAATTTCGACTACCACTCTTGCATCTTCTTGGTACGCAAAATTGTCAGTACTCTTGAGCTTTTGTGTATCAGATGTGGTTTCAACCCTGCCACGTGGTTTTACACCACAAACAGCTAACCATTCTCCTTTTGCCCTACTAGCTACTCCAGGATACTCTACGTAGGCCACCTGCTTAGCTTGTGTTGCAAGGATGAATGGTTCATATTTGCGGAATATCTCACTTTTTAAAACCTCAACCAAGTCATATTTGTCGTGCACTCTAGTTCCAACTCTGGGTCGTGGATCATACCACTTGCATTTGAATACAACACAATGCTTTATTGGTAAAGCAGGATACTCAACCTCGATAATTTCTTCTACACGACTATAGTAAGAACAATGCTCTCCAACAATAGACACACCGCTGTTAAACGTGGCACGTTTGGCACCGTGAGTCTTAGTGTGAAAGCGATAACCATTGACATAACAAATTGGGTATGTGCTGACGACGGGTAGAGGTCCCCTTGATACATCACGAATAACTTGCGGTGTATCAACAATTTCCCAAGCCTGAAAGTAGTACAAATGATGAATAACTTGAGGTGTCTCATTATTATAAGTAAAGGACTGAATTGAGTTGTTAACTAAATTAAGGGTATGATATATATACATGTTTTTCAAACCATGATGCAAAACTTTATTCCATTTGCAGAAGTAAAGCCTCATCAGTAATGTCAGGATTTGAGTCACGTAATGAATCGACATATTTCCTGCAATGAACAACATCATATGCCTTAAGTGTACACTCGCGGAATGGTTTACTAGAAATAGATAAAATTAGAGACATACTCAATGAATGGTTCAATCTCGACACTATTTAGCATAAGGAAATGATGCAGCGCCTTTAACTCATCATCAGAAAGTCTTCGCTTTTTCGTCTTACCGCTTAGGCGTCCTGCGCTTTGGAAAATGCTTAGGTTACTTTCGATGGCTGCAGGAACATCTCCTTCATCATTACGCGGTACACTGTGTAGTCGAGTGTAAACATGATCTTCAAAGTAATGCGAACAAAAATGAGATGCTTCTCTCACAATACACACCGGACATGCTGTTTTCCCAGCAGTGCTCCAACTAGACATCATTCCCAACGCCGGAAAGTCTCCAATAGTCCATAATAGTGCAGCACGCATCATAAAGTTTTGACTCAACGACACATCAAACGTTTCAATGCCTTCGGACCACAACATCTGTAAGTAATGGCTGTAAGTAAACATCAATCTTTTGTTTGGGATTAGACTTACCCGGAACTATTGCACACAAAAATATGTGTTCCTTTTTCATGCACATATTAGGCGGGAGATTGTAAGGAGTGACCATTACTGGCCAACAGGAGTATTGAGAACCCGATTGCCCGAAAGGTTGAAAACCATCTGTGCAGAGACCCAACCTTACATTTCGAACTTTAGAAGCAAATGTTGGATTAGAAAGGTTGAATTGCTTCCAGGCCTCAGAATCGCAAGGATGGCACATATCTCCATCACTATCGTGACTGTGCTCTGCATGCCAACGCATGGACTTCGCTGTTCTCTTTGTCATGTACAATCTCTTTAACCTCGGCGTTAGGGGAAAATAGAACATGTATCTATTTGGTATCTTTTTTATAGAGTCTTTGTAACGAGGCTTTTCACAAATTTTACATGCAGTTAGCTCAGCATCTGGGCCCCAAAAAAGCATGCAACCTTGGACACAACAAAGGTAGGCCTCGCAGCATCAATCACCATATTCATGTATTCTGCCCTTTCGGTTTCAACAAAGGTACGAGCATATTTACGACGCCGATGATGGCTCGTATAGTCACCATGTTCCTCTCTGTGGCAAACCCAATCAAAATATTTAGGAGTGAAACCTTGTCTCAGTACATGAAGCTTAATGTCCTCGATATCTTTAAAATATTTATTCTTACAAATCTTACAAGGACAACGCATCTGCCCGTTGAATCTGTCTACTTTTGGATTTGACTCACAAAACTCAATGAATTGTCTAACTTTGTCAACCCAGTCTGTATTTATAAAACCTGAGCTATCAAGTCTTTTATACATCCAATCTCGATTTTCGTGAAAGTCACTCATTCTGAGAAATTCAAACAAATAATTAAAATTAACATACTATTAAGTTATAGAAATCATTACAAACAAAATTAAAAATATAATATAAAAAATATAATATAAATGGATCGGAACAACTACAATATTCAACAACGTAACATACACAATACACAATACACAATACATCAATCCTCATGTAACATTAACAATATGTAAAATATAACAACTAATAAGCATAAATTGATTCACTAAAAGTTTAAGGAATATTATTAAATTTGTTAAAACAAATGACTAAATTTTGAATAACAAACCCTAACCTAAAATAATTATAAAATTAAAACTAAATTTGTAATTATAAACAAAATATGATATTTTAAAAACTCTAATGTAAACAATACAATTATAATAAAAAAATTAATTCACAAATAGAATTTGAATAAGAGATGAAAAATTGAAAAAAAACCTGGGATGAAGACCCAACGATGACCGGACGGCAAGGAGGACCGGCGGTTGATGGTGGCGGGCGGAGACGACGAGCGGACGGCGCGGCGGAGGAGGTTCGACGACGATTTGGACAGCAGACCTCAGACTCCACGCGGAGACGACGATTTCTGTCTGCAAATCGGTGAAACTGACTAAGGAAGAGGGTATAGATCTGTTTTTGAAGCGACGAAAAGTAGCGATGGATATATTCTGTCGCCAAGCCAAAATGCAGCGTTTCAATAAATTTCCGTCAACGACGGAAATATTCCGTCGCTAAAACAAACGACGGAAAATTCCGTCGGTAATTCCATCGTCAAAAATGCCGCGCACAACCTCTCGCCAATACAGAGCGACTGACCTTTTTTTCTGTCGTTAGTTTTGGTTGGAGTACTCTTCCGTCATTAAATCCGTCGCTGTTAGCGTCGAACTAAATTCCGTCGCTGCAATTCGTCGTTGTTTTGGCGTTTTGTTGTAGTGGGTGAAGTTCTCGTATCCGGAACACTGCCCATGGCATGCTTCTGTTTGGACTATCAAACAATATAGAAGTCAACATTTATGTAGACCTGACTTTTCTAAAGAGAAGGATGATAAGCTTTTTACAAGCAAGCTCATATCAGAAATTATATTCTCAAAAATTGCGGCTAATGCTAATTACAAGCTGAGGTACATTATTAAAGATATTTACGACTTATTTCAAGTTTCTGTGGTGTATAAGAAATGTTGGTTGGCTAAGTCGAATGCCATTCAGCGACTGTACGGATCCTGGGAGGATTCGTATAACAAGCTTTTGCCTCTATTAGCAACGTTGATTCAAAGTGGGCATCCTATAAATAATTCGAGGCCAAATAGCGCTGGGACCCCTCGTGATTTGCAAAGCAGACACCAATACCCCCTCTGTTTTCAAAACTTATTTCTCAAGTTCTTGTAGTTTCAAAATGTTGCACCTGTGCCCCCTCTGATCATTTTCCGGCCATTTTTCCAGCGAAGAAGGGGGGCATTGGTGCATATTTTTTAAACCATAGGGGGTATCAGTGCTTATTTTTATTTCTCGCTTATTTTTTGTTTTTTCCATTTTTTCCTTTTTGTTTCGTTTATTAATAAAGGTTTTTTTAAAATTATTTTTATAATATTCTTAATTTTAAAGTTTTAAAAAATTAACATATAATACATATGTACATCTCAAATTAACAATTTATGTTTTTTCTGAAAAAAAGTAAATTTTTTTAGAACAAAAAAATGAGGAATAAAATAAGAAAAAAATAATACAAAAATAAAATGAATATCCTTTTTGGACATCTCAATTCTAAGGACTTTTTTATGCGTGTCCGAATTTTTTTTTGTATAAGACTTTTTCTGCGTATTTTATTTTTTTCATTTCATTTTTCCATATTTTTATTTTTTTATTCTGGGTTTTTTTGAACTTTCCAAAAAATTATTCTAAGTAACAAAATGTGAAAATGTTTGATTTGAGATAGATGTGATGTATGTTAATTTTTTTTATTTTTATTTCAAACATAAAGAATTTTAAAATTTTTAAAACATTATAAAAATTGAAAATATATTTTTAAAAAAATTCTAGAAAATAAAAAGAGATAGAAAATATTTAAAAAAAAGAGAAAACACAAATAATGAAGAAAATAAGAAATGAGCACGAATGCCCCCTATGGTTTAGAAATTATGCGCCAATGCCCCTCTTTGCCAGAAAATGATCAGAGAGGGTGTGGGTGCAATGTTTTGAAACCACAAGGACTTTAGAAATAATTTTTGAAAGGAGAGGGGGTATTGGTACCGATTTTCTAAACCACAGGGGGCACCGAAGCTATTTGGCCAATAATTCGAGGGAGTGTGATAAATTAAAATTCTGAACGAAGGGCATATACAACACTTTGTTTGAAAAAAAATAACGATTCATACCCCATATATCACTGGTAAACCTCCTCATCACAGTTCGACTTTATCCACTTTCACCCGTAGCCTTACTTGACTTTGCTGTCAAATTGATGCAATTGAAGGATGTGAGTTCGAGGAGGCGTGAAGTGAAGAGCGTGTAAGGAGACATGGATCGTCAAATTTTAAACTTGGTGGGTAGATATGATATGACATTGGCCAGGGTCGATCCCGAAAAATAAAAAAATGAAATTGGCCCGGTCCGAAATATACATTTGGACCCTATTTTATTATTTTAGAATATTTATGTTTAAAAATTAATGATAAATTTAAAAATATGAGATCCAAAAATTTTAAGAGCCTTGTACGATTTACCACTTTACACACCTTCCAAGTCACCCATAACAAACATTGACTGGGATAAAACTTCGAGAAATAGAGGAAAACACGCTCAAGCCCAAAAAAGTGATGTTATAGTCAAATATGATCAAAGAAGTTGCTAGGAAGGATAAACCTTTATCTACCCAACCGCGTCTTCACCAAACATATTACAATGTCACGCGCCCCTTCTCTCCCACCACCAAACCTATATACACACACACACACACACACCCTTGACCATACCATATTTGATATTTCAAATATAATTACTCCCTCTTTGTTCGATTTCCGGTCGAGCCATGTCGGAAGCTCACTTGAACGGAGCCTACTACGGCCCATCCATCCCGCCGCCGACGACGAAATCCTACCACCGTCCCGGCCGCGGAAGCCGCGGCGGGTGCTGCTGCTGCTGTGACCTCTTCAGCTGCCTCTTCACATGCGCCTGCAACTGCCTCTTCAAGATACTCTGCACCCTCATCGTCTTCCTCGGCGTCGCCGCCGTCGTGCTCTGGCTCGTCCTCCGCCCGCACAAGATCAACTTCCACGTCGAAGACGCCGCCCTGACCCGATTCCACCTCTCCCCGACGAACAACACCCTCTACTACGACCTCGCCGTCACCGTCTCAGCCCGGAACCCGAACAAGCGCATCGGGGTCTACTACGACTCCGTCGACGCCACGGCGTTTTACCGGGACCACCGGCTCTCCACGGTCCAAGACCTGGGGGGGTTCTACCAGGGGCACAAGAACACCACCGTCCTGAAGGCGGCGTTCAAGGGGCAGAGCGTTGTTCCGCTCGACGGAGGCGACAGGGGGGGCTACGACGGGGAGACGAAAGAAGGGGTTTACGGGATCGACGTGAAGCTTAAGATGAGAATCCGGCTGAAACTCCGGTGGATCAAGACGAGGAAGATGAAGCCCACCATTGAATGTGATCTCAAGGTTCCATTGTCGGGATCCAAGAATCCATTTGAGAGGACTCGGTGTCATCTTGACTGGTAGATGCTGGCGGAGATTATATATTCTACTAATAATGTATTTTTGTTTTATTTTTTTAATATTATTGATTTGGTTACAATATTCGGCATTATATTTGTTTTTTTTTAAATTTGTTAGCTTTACATTTTTTTTCCTCTTGTAATTTTTTTGTTGTGAATAAATAAAAAGCGTCATTGCTTCATTAAATTTGCATGCGAGGCTGCAACTTACCTCCTTAAAATGTTCTTTGCCGTTCAAAATTAGGCTGTAAATTGTTTAACGGATGTAGGGGGTCTTAAATTTGATTTTTGTAAATTCTAATACGATATAAAATAAATTCATTTACTCATATTAGTCATGTTAGAAAATGATAATTTTTTTAATTATGTAAATTAAATTTAAAAATAATAAAGCTAAGTATTGTTTAATTTTGTAAGACACAAAATCTCAAAGTTGAAACAATTGGTGAATATCCCACAAGGATAGCTGACCTAATCTCGATTCAAGGATAAGCATGGTCCGTGTTGAATATGGAAAGTCTCACGTAAAGCATGGTTCGTGTTTAATATTGAAAGTCTCATATAAGTGGGGTCATTTTTTCGGTTAGGATAAAGGTATTTGTACATCATTTTATATATCGTAAAGATATTCTAATATTTTGTGTTGGTGTAATATTAATTTTTGTTAACGCACAAACACTTTGTATCAGTGTAAATTTTTGTTAATACACCAACATTTTGTATCAATGTGAACCCTCAAAATGTTGGTGTATACTTTTGATGTATAAATAGGATACAAATTTTGGATACATGTGGCATGCTCCTTTCGGTTACACGTAGTTTTAACCATTTGTTTGGATGGGATAAGGAATACTTTCCCTTTCATATCTTTCTTTCCTTTTACTCCACAGGATTGATATTTAGTCTTATATTAATAAATACTCCCTCCGTCCCAAAAAATTTAGACCTTTCAGAAAAATTACGTCTCACAATCTCCTACCCATTTCTATTAAAAATTACTTTTCCCCCTTACTTTTTCAAATCCTACATATCACATCATACTTTTTTCCTAATAATCTACACATCATATCCTACTTTTACCATCACATCAAGGGTATTTTTGGAAAGTCAACACAAAATTATCCCTCCCTTAATTTCAAATTTAGTCAAAACGTGTAAATCTTTTTGGGATGGAGGGAGTATTATGCATGTGGTCCTTTTTTTATAAAAAATTTCTCACAGATAGGCATTTTTTGATCTTCTGTAATATTAGTATTAATTTGAGGATTAAAATTATAATTTTAGAATGACAATATATCTTTCTTGTCATACACGATTCAAGATCACCCCAAATGTGTCGTTTGTGAATCGCACACAATCGCTTTCTGTTACAATCTTTATAATCTTTCGTCCGAATCATAATCCACATGCATAGTCATTATTATTATATTGTCCATCTCATCAACATCAAACATGTCACTAGACCTGGCAAATCGGTCGGTCAGGTCGGGTTCGGGTTCGGTCACCTTGGGTTCGGGTTACTTCGGGTTCGGTTAAGTTCGGGTTCAGGTTGATAACTACATGTTCATGACCCAGTGTCATCGGGTTCGGGTTGACCCAACGGGTTATGAGTTTCATTTATTTTTTTNTAAGTATGCGACATCATTAGAATTTGTTATGATGCTATAAATTTATACACAAAAAATGAGTAGTAAGCAAAGAAATATAATCATAATCTTATTTTTATAACACTATATTTCATATTAAAATGTATGATTCTGAAAAAATCTTAGATTAGTGGGTCGGTCAGGTCGGGTTCGGGTTCGGTCGGGTTTGACCCATTTTTAGCGGGTCATTTCGGGTTCGGTCAACTTCGGGTTCGGTCAGCAAAACCTTTGTTCAAAACCCAGTATTTTCGGGTCGGGTCTCAGGTCAAAAACAGGTCGGGTCATTTTTTGCAAGGTCTACATGTCACTAGAGATATGATTATGTCAAATTATGCTTTAAGTCCATAAAAAACACCATGAGTATAGTATTCTTTCTTTCCTATCTTTGTGTTTTCTCCCCTTTTCTTCTTTGGCATCTACTCCCCCGTTCTCCATTTTCTCTTTCTCGTCCATCTCTCCTTTGCCTCGTCGTCATCTTCCCTGTCTCACCTCGCTCAAAAATTCCGCCGGAGTTCTAGGATTAGTGTGTTCCGGTGTCGGTGTCGGCTCTCAAATTCCCATCACCGCCGATCTCTTGTCGGAAGCAGGTAATCGGTCCATCTTTTCTTCTATATAGTTGCTTGGTTTTGTCTATTATTGCTTTGATTTTGCTTGAATGTCTCCAATTTTCTCTTGTCAATTGTTTGCTGGTTGTCCATTATTGCTTTGGCTTTGTTTGAGTGCCAACAATTTTTGTTTCCATTTTGCAGTATACAAACATATGGAGTTTATGTGTGTGTGTGTTTTAAATAATTTCTGTTTGCAATTTTTTTGTCGCAAAGGAATTGATCGAAAACCTCTTTGATTGCTTGGTTTTGTCATTTGTAGAGTATTATTTAGCTTATGAATTTGAACATGAAAAAAAAATTGAACATGGAAGTGAAACTAATAGAAATCGACAGTTTTCGAACTTTTAGCCAAACATCAAAAGAAGGGAAATGACTTATTTTCAAGACATTATTTTCCATAAATTATTTTCCTAGTTTCTAAAAGGACCCTAAAAAAGATGTTGAGATTTATGGCTATGAGAGAAGAATATCATAGATTTGAATATGAGAGGATTCATGGGCAATCCAAGGAGAGGCCGAGGTAGTGGCCTAATGCTCAAAAATATGGGAGGCCTAAAAGTTTATTAAAAATATTAGGCCTATTAAGTGAGGAGAATAATTTGATAAATTAAGAAGCTAAAAATACACAGTAAAAGAATATTGGTTTCATATTTGTTAAATGCAAAAGTGTAAAAGATGCACGGTTAAAACATAAAGCGTAATAATCTACTCAAAATTTTGAGAATTTGAGTTAAAATGTAAAGAATATACAAAAATACTCTGTAAATAATTGCAATTTAAAAAATTCCCTGTCAAGTATATAATAAAAGAACTCCATATCATAAAGTCCAAATTGAGTCGAATTTATTTTAAAATCCCTTGTTTTAGTTTTATTGGAGTAAATTTCTTTATAATTATATATTGATAAGTGGATGTAGGGGCAGGCACGGCCCGTGACGGTCCCTGATAGAATCAGAACTTATCACGAACTACGCTTATTAAAAATGTACGAAATATTGAAATCTAACAACCATATTTAGATTTCTTTAAACTCTTCCATTTCCGTTTTTAAAATTCATATCAACTTTTCCAAATTTCAAAATTCATATGATATCTACTTTCGTAAACTCATCAAACATGCCTTAAATAAATATAAGGGTTACATGCTTCGAAATAAATAGAGTGGAAGATTTCATAATATGAGTCATGAAATAACAAAAGTACTTTGTTTCACAACAAGACACTATAAACCACATTGTTTTGAAATATCAAATAATTGGGTCAATTAAGTCGCCGCAGAAGGTACTCAACTTCAACCTTTTTTGTTAAAGGGATCACCCAATTTTCATATAAGTTGGACACTTGGATGGGATCAATCTTGTACTCTCCACTCCCACTCTTAGTATTGTTCAGTGCCACTTCTTTTGCAAACTCTCTGGCTTTCAGCAACACTCGATTTCTGACTTGCTCTTCAACAGTTCTATTTGTCAGCAAGTTCTCAAGAGCTTCTTTGTTCTGTAAACATTTGCATCCAAAGAAGCATTGATTTAAGACAGAAAATGCTTTAATTTGACCAGAACTTTTCTATTAAAAGCTCTGGTGAAAATACTCCAATCTGTACATACCTTAGCATGAATAAGTTTTTTGTATTGATCCGGAGCACTACTGAATTTAGCCTCAGCAACAAATCTTCCGTAATGAATCCTTCTAGAGAGTGCCTTTGAGAAATTTGACCAAAATATATATCTAAAATGTCATTGCAGAGTCGTATGTGCTACAAATATATCAAAGATGACACTTAGGTAGACGCAATTAGTGTCTCACAAACAATTACTTTTCACCAAAGATTGTGTGTGCGAAAATAACCTCATGATATAAACTAAATGAGTTCTTAGCATTTTTGTACGTAGTACTACATATATACCTGCAAACATAGGAGGTCGGCCATAGCCGTGGAAGCGTAGTTTTCATCGCTACCCGCTTTGGTGAAGTTGTGAAGAATGCCGGTGAGATAAAAATTCCAAATCATGCTATTGACGTTGGTTGAGGCATTCACGTCGGCAGCCTTAGGATACAAATACTACATGCACCACCACATATCAAGTGGTTTAAATCAGCTATTGCCACAAAGAGTCACATGCACAAATCACAAATTACACGCACACAAACACACACACACACACACACACACACAACTCACCGACACACATTCACTGCTCGGCGCAAACGGGTTTGGCAATTGACTCGGGAAGAAAGGAAGCTCCTCTTTAGATGAATATCTTCCCATCTGTTTTTATTATAAGTGTTTAAAAAAGAAAGCATTAAAAGAAGCTGTGGGAATGTAGTACCACACATGCTTAAGAAACACATGAAAGAGGAAGAGAAAATATGCAAGTAATAGATTTGTATTCAAAGCATTAACTTACAGAGTAGAGATGCATGCTATTTATATAGGCAATGTATAATAAAATATTACTCCCTCCTCCGTCTATAAATTTTCTTCTCATCATTCCACGATCTCCAATACAACTTTGACCATTAATATCTTTATTGATATACAAACTTATATTATAAAAAAATTATATTTCAAAATGAATCTATTTATATTATATTTACGTGATAATTTAATGTATTTTTTTTTGTAATTTTTGGTTAAATTAAAGCTTAAAATTTTTGACCAAGTAAGTCAAACTGAGAAGAAAATTTTTGGATTGAGAGAGTATAAACAAAAACTAGCCAAAGACATTGTGGTCGAGCGGCATAATTGTGTCTCACAAATGGAAAGTCACATGTTCGAACCGTACTAAGGGCATTGTCTTACTTAGATTTGGTTTCCATTGGAATTTTGTTAGCCTCATTTTGAATAACCTAAAAGGCACTTGGAGGCTTTCTCTAGAAATATGAAGGATATTTTTGTTAATCTTAGAGGCGTGCCCTTTACTAAGCTCCATATGCTTGTGTTCACTCACCTCTTATATGCTGATGATGTTATGATTTTTGCCAACGATAACAACTACACTACTAGATTAATTATGCAGACTATCAAAGATTTGAAAAAGTGCTAGTATTTGACCCAAAAAGGTCAAAACAGAAAGAGTTTTTAGTGACGGAGGGAGTACAAGATAAGGAGTATACATATACAAGATACTATTGTATAACTATGCCGCCAATGGGTAGTGTAAAATTAAAACTATATTATAAAAAGCAAATCTAATCTTATATTAATACACTATGCTATTCACACCTTGTAAATTTATATATTCTATATAATTATTAGAGTAAATTTATATTGCATATTTCATAATAATATTATACGTACATGTGTAGTTTGAAACATATGTTAAAATTTGAAAAATTATCACAAATAAATATTTTGAAGTTAATAAAATGTAATAAATATGCCTTATTACATGAAATGGTTGGAGTAGCTATAAAAATTGGATTGTTAAAACACTATTCATAGTCTAAAATACAATATATTATATAATATACACGATCCAAATTTACATGATCCATTCTAGTGCCCCAATATGAATGCCCTTGGTTTCCATGATATTGGAAATTAATTGCACCCCACAAGATTTAGTTGATTATGAAGTTATAATTTGACTCCAAGGTCAACTAAATCGTGTGTGTGTAATTGACAATGGAAGGAGTGGGTTCATGTTGGTCCGGGATGGTGGGATTTACCGGCAGGGTAAGAGGGTAGAAAGTTGGAAACCATCAATTTGTCGAATGGAGCAACGTAAGGACCCCAAACGGGGCCCATGTCATGGGGGCTAATACCATTAGGCGTTCCCATGACATTAGACTCCCATGTATGTCATCTTATGACATGAGCCAGTTTGAGGTCCTTATGATGTTTCATTCAAAAAATTGTCGGTTCTTACCCCATAACCCCGTTGGTAACTCCACTACCAAGGCCCAATCTGAACCCACCATCCATCCCCGTCAATTACACCTTACAAAAATTAGTTGACTTTGAAATCAAATTTTGACATTTAATGTTTTTATAATAAAATAGGGTGCAAGATTTATAATGTCAAAGGGTGTCAATATATAATACCTAAAAATATTATGATTTGACAACATATAATGTCAAGTTGTGGCATTACATGCTCTTATTTAAGAGATAAAAATATAAGAATTCATATATTTTAATACTCAATATAAGTTCGGATGGATATCCGGTCCGGTAATTAGATAGGGACAGTCCAATTACGATTCCACAACCCAAGAGGAATATAAATCCAATTACAGAACGAAGGAGGGCCCAGAGTGTCGGGTCCATGCTGATACTAGAAATAGATGTAATTCTCCAAATCGTGGGATTGAGGGGAGATGATGACTTATTCTCCACCACGATTGACGCATGACTGGCAAATTGCCGATAATGTAGCGCACGATATAGTACATGTCTTATATACGGTAGAAGTAGACTATAAATAGGGGGCAAACCCTCCATTGTAAGGTGGGCTGAATATAGCTTATACAAACATACGAGAGTTCTAATTTTCTTCAACACTATTCTTATTAGTATCCTGTTCTTCGTACGTCATTGTTCTTGGGCTAAATCCTATCAAGTTCAATGTTTTATTTTTATTTACCTAGGTTTTTTGTTACTTTAGTTTGTACAATATCTGGAGTAGATTTCACAATAATATAAGGAGAAAGAAGTGAAACACCAATTTTTAAACTAATACTCCCTCCGTCCCTGAAAATCTTTCTCCTTTCTTTTTTCATCCGTCCCAAAAAATACTTCTTATTTCTATTAAAAAGTCATTTTTACCCCTTACTTTTTCATACCATACCTATCACATCATACCTTTTTACTAATAATCTACCCATCAAATCATACTTTTACCCATCACATCAAAGGATATTTTTGGAAATTCAATACCAAAATACACTCCCCTTAAATCTCTTCAAAATCAAAACATCTCATGTTTAAAGGGACGGAGGGAGTAAGTAATAACGGTATAGCAATATGGTAGTGGCATGCCATTTTAAAACACATGAAAATGAATGGTATTACCTGAGACTGAAGAGCCTCGCTTTGATTGACGAAGTACTGGAAAAGAGATCCCGGACCGGAAAACGGCGGAGATTTATCACCGGCGGCGGCGTACAATGGGGTGTTGACGGGGAACTTGGCTCTCTCGATGAGGCTGAAAATAATGGTGTCTTCCTGTCGCACCAGACTGTCCCGAGCCGAATCAAGCGTCACGTTGGAACAATGATAAGTCGCAGCTCCCATTGTTTTGCCCACAAGACACAAATTAGCAACAAATGACATTATTATCATTATTGCGCCATTGTTAATAATACTAATCATAATCCTCGTTATTGAAGAAGGCATAGTGAAGATATGGAAAGGAGGTGTGAATTGATCACTAGCTAGCATATGGGAGAGGATCCCCAAAATATATATATTATCTCAGTTCCTCTCAGAGTGCTTGTTTAGTTTTGACTTTTTACAATCAAAATTGGTAAGCTTTAGTTATTAATTCAATAAAAGTTATACTCCTCGTCTCAAAAAACACTGGAGTATTTCTCATTTCTATTGAAAAATTACTTTTACCCCTACTAATTCTAAACATACCTATTACATCACATTTTTTCACTATTAATCTACTTATCACATCTACTTTTAGTCATCATATCCCAAGTGCATTTTTGAAAAGTCAATACCAAAATATACTTACTTTAAATCTTTTAAAAGTCAAAACTAGAAAGGTTTTGTGGGACGGAGGAATTATTAGATATTGGTACAAGAACAATTTTTTTAGAATATATATTGTAAAATGTTTTCAAAATATTGTCTTATCTAATTAATATACCATATACAATTTTTATTTAATTGGGGTCAAGACTGTAAAAAATCAAACTAAACAAATACTCTAGCACAGATGAAATATATATATGCTTGAAGCATGGTTGGTCCTGAAATAAAAAATAATTAGGGTTCTATGCGAGTGCACTATTGCAGATGTTGCACACCTTCCAAGTCGCCCATACCGTGGAGTGTGTGGGTTGATTTTAAGATCTCTTCACTAGCTAGAATACGTACTACGTAGCGTATAAATATTCTCTCTATCTCATATCCTTTTTCGCTTTCACTTTTCTCGGCCTCTATTGCAAAATGTTGATCATTAATAATATATATATATTTTTATATGGTGTATGAACATAGATTATAAATATATAATATTTTCAAAATTTCATTTGAAAACGAATCTACTCATATTAAATGTACATCTTAATTTTTTTTCTTTTTGTATTCAAAATTTCAAAAAATTGATCATAAAATCAAAAGTGGATGATTAATATACTCTTTAGAAGCGAGCGAGTAAACAAATTCATCACTCATTTTGCAATGCCTACTTTAATTTGTTAAAAATATTGGTTTTCAAAGACAACTGTTCCTTTTTTTCCCCACAAAGTGACTAGGTTAAATCTCCATAATTTAAGAAATAGGCATCAACTTGCCGTGATTGAAGGACTCCATTTTCTTAACTTTTGACATTTTGGGTACTCTTTCAATGGAAAATACTTTTGACATTTTCTTTAAAAATATTATTTAGTAAGATGTGATTCGTATATTAATAATAATATATGTATCATGTGATAGATAAATTAGTAGCTCATGATTAATAGAAGTAAATATGGAGTAAATGTTTTAATTGAAAGAGATATACCAAATACGGAGTATGTTTTTGGACCGAAGGAAATAATTAATTTGTGGAATGGAAAAAACAAATGTGGACGCAAGGACCACTAGGGGTGTAAACGGATATTAATCGGATCGGATGTGTCATTACCAAATCCGTATCTGTTTATTTTTGTCGGATATCGAATTCGGATACGGATCTTGACGGATATTGAAAATCAAAACCGTATATGCATCCGTCGGATATCGGATATATCCGTATTCGTTTCCAATTTTTAAAATCAAATTAAACAATACTTAAATTTTAAAATAGATTAGAGTCAAACTATTATTAAATCAACTATAATTTGTTATGGAATAATTATTTTCTTTGTTTTCATAATTTATGATATTCTTTTATAACTTCATATGATAAAAAGATATACACAACACACATATACACATATATTTTTATGTGTCTACACAATTATTTTGTGTATAAAAATATTTTATACTTTGAAATATCAATAGAGAAACAAAATATAAACATAAAAAATTAGGAAAAACCATATATAACGGATCAAATATTCGGATAAACGGTTATTTAAACGGATGCATATTCGAATCAGATTTTAAACGGATCAGATATACAATTACCAAATCCGTATCCGTTTAGTAATCGGATATCCTTAATCGGATACGGATCATATCCGTTTAAAACAGATGCAGATATTTCCTCTTTAAACGGATACAGATGCGGACGGTAATCGGATTTTCGGCTATCCATTGACAGCCCTAAGGACCACGTAAAATTTTTCCCCTAGGATTATATCACATCATCAACTAGATTTTAATTTAGAAGTTAAAGTTCGAAGGCAAGTCAGGGCTCGAGTGAAATTTTTTTTAAAAAAAAAATACAAATTTATACTACACACGGAGAAAATGTTGCTCCGAGTTCGAGCTTTTTGATTAAGTTTGTTTTTTTTTTCAATATCGCTTTTATATTCTTTCATCTTAAAGCAATCGTTTAGTTTGATTATGAAGAGTCAAATTAGATAATTACATAAAATTTATATTACATATGAATATAATAAAACAACTTTTAAAAAATTTTCTGCAAGATAAATCTAATAAAACCAATTTTGTAGTAATGTACTCCATCTGTCCCAATTTAAATTACCAGTTTCGGTTTACAATGTTTTATTGAAATTATTTTCAAATCATTTTATATGAAAAATTATGTAGAATGAAAAAATAAAAATTAAATATTTAAAAACTAGATCAAAAGATCTACAAAACTAGTGGTGACATGACTATATTATTTTATCAAATGACTAACAAAAATAGAGAAAGAAAGTGAATTAACTTTGATAATGTGAATTAGGTAAACAAACAATTTAATTAATATAATATACTCCACTCTAATTGGTGTCAATTGGCGACACCAGGTCAATTGGACACCTACGATTCTATATTCGTAAAATTAACAGTTCCTTACCCGCCTCCACCCTCCAGCCCCTAACCCGAGTCCCCCATCACCCCTTCCTTCCCTTAATAACTATTTTGGCAAAATTAATTCTGCCAAAATAATTAAAGAAATGTGGGGCCGGTGCAAGGGGGCTGGGATGGTTGGGGTTAGGCCACCGTTAAGGTGGGGATTTAGGAGGGGATTAGGTGTAGAAATCGTTAATTTTACGACTAGAGTACCGTAGGTACTTTAATTGAACTGGTGTCGTAATTGACTAGACGCTCTCATTTAAATGTGATATTCTATAAACTACTCCGTATATGAAATTGAAGATGCATAAATAAGTGAAATAGATTTTAAAAGCTCCTGACAGTGAAATATTTTTTAAAAAGCTCTTGTAGTTGCCAAAAACCGAACACATCGAGTATTAATCTTCTCACATAAAAAATTCTTTTTTTTTATTTAAAAAAAATAAATGCTTATCTAGCTAGGTAGTAAATAAATTCTTATTTTGCTCATATGTAGGTCCATAGTAGACCTTAGGTCAATCATAGAATTAGCCCTTGTCACCCTTTACCTTACCAACTCTGTTAGGCTCTCGGTAGACTTTATTTAAAAAATTAAAGTTTGAAGGCAAGTCAATGCTCGAGTCAATAAAAAATAAAACTAATTCACACACGAATGTGTGAATAAGTCAATTAACCTATTCTTCCTCCGTCTCACAAACTCTTTGTTTTGATTTTTAGAACATTAAAAGAAAATATATTTTTGTGTTAACATTCCCAAATTATTCTTGATGTGATGTATAAAAATATGATGCGATGAATAGATAATTAGTGAATAAGTATATATGACAAGTAGGATCAGAAATAAGAAGAGTAAAGTAGCTTTTTAATAGAAAAGAGAAAGGTATGGTGAGAGAGGAAAACAAGAGAAATAATTTGTGGGAGGAATGGAGTATAAAAGACATCTTTTGAGCTTCCAACTAAAAAAGGACAAGCTTTTTGAATTTTGATTAAGTTTGTTTCTTTACATTATTGCTTTGTTGCCTTTTTTTTCTTAGAGTATTCCTTTGGTTTGATTTTGAGGGGTCAATTTGAATAAATTTTGATTGTCGACTATATAAATTTATATTAAATATTAATATAATGAAAAAGTTTTTTTCAAAATTTTCTACAAGATTAATCTAATAAAATCAATTTTGTTGTAATATTAGTTTAATTTTTATTTTAAAAATAATATAAGTTGGCACATATAATTTGAAAAGATCAAATGAAACAAATACTTTAGGATGGTGATAGTATATATGAAGCAACACAGGCTAACGTGTTATGAATTCGGGATGTAAACTAGAAATAAGGACTTCATTGTAATTATACTTTTACATTCTTCTTGTTCAAAAACCACGCTTTCAGTTACGGAGTAGTATTTAGATAAGTTTTAATAGTGTAGAATAGTTTTAAAAATACTAACTCCGTCCCAAATTATTTGTCACATTTCTATTACCGATGTAAAATATTAAGTTTTTTCAATTCATTTTATTTACATATTGGTAAAGAAATAAAAAATAAAAATTACATATCAAAAAACTACATGAAAAGTTCTTCGAAATAAGAGGTGTCAAGAATATTTTATTTTATCAAATAACCAATGAAAACGTAGAAATAAACAAAAGTTTTCGCGACTGTTGAAAACGCAAATGTGGCAAATAATTTGGGACGGAGGGAGTATCAAACACTTTCATTAGATAATTTTTTCCAAAATATTGGAGATGTTTCCAAAAACAACCCCTAAATCCCCATCACAAACTACCAAATTTACTTATTCTATTTAAAGTTGTTAAATTCGCACTAGTGTTTAATTTAGCAAAACTGGATGAAAAGAGTAAATTTAATTATTGTGAGTTTGTTTTAAATTTTAAATCTCAAATTTCAAATTTTATTTTTTATTTTTAAACTTTTAATTTATATTCTTAATTTTTTTAATTTTTAGTTTGAAATTTTAAATTGACTTATTTGATTAGTCAAAGAAATCAAAGTCTACCAGAGAAGTCAAAAGTTAGCCGAAAAACTATTTTCCCTATACCCCGAAAATATATAAGACATGTTTCTTTGTTATGATTCGGAAAGGATCACCGTGGCTTTAGTTGGACTCCTAGAGTTCAAAGTCTGAATTTCAAATTTTTTTGTTGTGTTTTGGAATTGAAATTGTGAAATTAGAAAAGTTAAAATTATTATTAAATTCCAAATTCACATACTTTTCTGCTACCGAGCAACAAAATTGGAATTAAAGTCTCGAGTTTCAATTCCAAAACCTGAATGCCGTGTATCAAATGTAGTGAGATTCATTCTATTTAAATTTGTTAAATTCACATTAGGCTGAATTTAGCAAAACAGGATGAAAAAAAGTACATTTATTTAGAAGTGCGAGATTGTTTTAATTTGTTGTCCCAAGGTACAAGAAATATATGACACATGATTTAACACACACATGAACCACAAGTAATCAAGTCTATTCAATTACTCTCTTATGAAACTTAGCTTGCAAAGCCTTAACCGTCTTTGGGTCAAGCTGGAAGGCCTTGCTAAGCACATCAACGGGCACAGAGGGTCTGGACCCGAACACGGCACCGGCAGTGGTCACCACACCCGGAGACTGGCTACTAAAAGCCGAAAGCGCGACGCCCGGCCCACTCCCCAGATTCATTTCAAAGTGTATCATCCCCTGGGGGAAAACGAACGCGTCCCCTTCCTCCAGCACCCTGGAGAATAGCCGGTTGGGGCCTCCTGTCGGGGGGTTGGAGGCGATGAACCCGGCGTAGAGGGTGCCCTTGAGTACGGTGAGGACTTCCGTGGCCCTGGGGTGGTGGTGGGGGGTGTTGAGCCCCCCGCGCGGGGCGAGGTCGATTCGGGCCAGGGAGATGCCCAGGGTGTTGAGGCCCGGGAAGGCGTTCACGTCCACGCGGGTCACGTTTGAGCCTTCTCTGTTGGTTGTGTTCCGTGGGATGTTTAGACCCCTGAAGAGGAAATCGCTTGCTGTGACTTCCATTGGGTCCTTGCAGAACCGCCCGTTCACAAACACTACATTCATTATTATTATTCAAGAATCACCATGAGCATTCATTGTTAATAATAAATCAGACTCCTACTACATACTCATCCGTTCTAAAAAAGAGTTCAAATTTTGACGTAAGATTAATTAATAGTGGTATGTAGAAGGGCTTGTTTGGGAAGAGTGTTTTCAATTAGCGTTAGCGTTTTGGATAAAATATTAATGGTGTAGATAAATTCGGAAAACGCTAACGCTAAAACCTACCGTCAGATAGCCTTTTCAAAACGCTAACGCTAATCTCTAACGCTGATGCCAAACGGGGCCGAAGTGTACGTACGTACCTCCTCTTAAGGGACTGGCCACTCCAACGCAAAAATCTTGCAGCTGGTTTGGGTCGGTAGCAAAGGCCATTGCTAATAATAGCATTATTACTATGCTTGCCAATGCTTCATAATGAGCAGCAGTATAACCCATTTTCATCTTCTATCTCAAAATATATGCAAATTAAATAATACTAGCTAGCTAGGCAAATAAATTAAAGTCTCGTCTATATATATATATATATATATATATATATAGAGAGAGAGAGAGAGAGAGAGAGAGAGAGAGAGAGATAAGCTATATAGAGATAATAAGTAATTGAATTTGTTATCAATCAAATTCCAAGAGGCCACTATAATCCCAAATGGACCAGTCCTCATTTCACTCGTATTATTTTGTCAATAATCCTTTTCAAGCATTGCCAACGACTGCCACTAAATATAAATATGACAATTTCTCTTAATTAGGTCAATACAAAAACTACAAAAAAAAAACACACACACACAGATAGATATATATATATATATATATATATATATATATATATATATATATATATATCTATGTATATATATGTATGTATGTATGTATATGTATGTATATATATATATATACATACACATACATACATACATTCAGTTACATGATTATCCAATAAAATACGTAAGAATATTTAAGTTTTGGATAAAAAAATTATCATTGTTTGTGTTTGAGGCCAGGTTATATATTACTCCCTCCGGGGCCAAGAAATTATTTCAAGTTTAAAGGCTTTCCATGTGTTAGTTATCATTGAATTGTGGGCCGGAGGGAGTATTAATCATATATAAATACATTTTTAAGTCTTTAAAAGAAACTAAAAAGAGTTGGAAGGTTCTGGAAACTGGAAAGAGTTGGAAGAAGTTGGAAGTTAGTGGTGTTTCTGTGTGCTTATAAGCCGATGAAAACTATTCATAACCTTTTAACCTATAAGCTACTTGATGACGTATTTTTTTGTGCTTATAAGCTTGACTTATAAACTTCTTATAAGTCAAAAAAAAAAGTAGGTCTTTTTTATTTATTTTTAAGTTTGTTTTCTCGTTTCTTCGTTTTGACAAAAATATTTACAAATATATCCATCACTTATGAATATCCCGAAATGACATATCTACCATTTAAGTTATTTTACTTCTACGAAAGAATATTTAACTTATCAGCAAAAAACTAGTAAGTACCAATAATACAGAGAAACATCCTCTTTTGATGTTCAAAGGGAAACTATCTAGCTGTATGTAGGGGTGAGCAATTTAACCGAACCGACCGATTAACTGAAACAATTTAACCGAACCGACCGCAATTTTAAATTCAGTTTCGGTTTTCGGTTTTAATATAAAAAATATTCGGTTAATTCGGTTATCGGTTTCGGTTTCGGGCAATGTTAACCAAAACCGACCGAATAACCGAGCCCATATTATGTGTATTAATGATTAAACATATATAAGCCCAGACCAAATCTTTTAGTTACAGCCCACTTAAAAAAGCCCAATTTCCAGCCCTTCTCCCAACCCGTCTCCCAAGTCCTCGGCACTCGATCGGCAGAAAGTCCCAAATCCCAACCCTGTTGTGTCGTTCTCTGGTTCTCGTCTTCTCGGTCCTCACCAATCGGCAATCACCATCTCCCATTCTCCCAATTCCTGCGTTCTCAAACCGACGCCATTCACAACAAGATCTAATCGGCAATCACCATCTTCGTTCCAATCGGCAATCACCACTCACCAGGTTTGTTCATTCTTTTTTGTTGCTAATTATTATCCTTTTAGATGCATTACTAGCCAAGGGCCATGGCCGACGATTATCACAGCTTGTTGCCGCATCATCCCCATTCACAAGCAGCAGCAACAACAATCCCAAGGAGCTGTTAATATTATAGTCTTTGTTAGATTGTGATTGATTAAGTGTGTAATTTGTGGTGATTGAATAAAGTTTGTAATTTCAGCAAAAAATTTCTTTGTTCTCATTCAAATTTCTTTGTTAAATTAAGTGTTTTGACAATTGTTTGTTAAATTAAGTGTGTTTTCAAATTTCTTTGTTAAACTAAGTGTGTGAATTAAATGTTTTTTCAACTTTCTTTGTTAAATTAAGTGTGTAATTTTTGAGAAATGCTTCAACTTTCATGGATTGAAAAAATCAGTTTTTTCAAACCGACCAAACCCGATCGGTTTTTACTCGGTGCGGTTTGTTCGGTTCTTGCTTTTATTCAGTTCGGTTCGGTCGGTTATTATGAGTATTTTTAATTTTCGGTTTTTTCGGTTTTGAGCCGAAACCGACCGAACCGAACCGATGCTCACCCCTAGCTATATGGTCGTTCGTGCCATAATGCATGTCTTTTTGGGGTCAACGATGTTTGACTAACATTAACTACTCCCTTCGTATTTAAATTATCTTCTTTGATATTTGAAATTTTTGATAACTTTTTTGTGCATGTTTTTTAATTAAATATTTGATAAAATTAAATATGAATGTTATTACTTCTTTGATAGTTTTGTTTTCATTGTTCGTTTGAAAGAGCCTCCTCTTCCTCCTCCTCCTCCTTTAAAGAAATCTTTTTCCTTTATTTATGTATGATGTACTCCCTCCATCCCGTTTTAAATCGCATGTTTTAACTTTTGGGCATATTTAAAGAAAATAAAAAATATAGTTGATTTTTCGAAATTATCATTACTTTTTAGGAGGAGTGAGGATGAATGAAAAGATAAGGTGGAAAAGAGTGACTTATTTTAGGGGTAGCTTTGATATTTTACTCATAAAAGTTTACGATAACAAGTAACAAGCAATTTATTTTGGAACAGAGAAAAAAGACAAACAGACAATTTAAAATGGGACAGTGAAAGTATTAATTATTCCTTTATTTATGTATGATGTATTATTTATTTAAAAGAATCAAATTTATTTCGGGAATTTTAAATATCTGCACGTGATTAAATTGATATGACTAATTTAATTAAATAAATGGAAAAATTATATTAAGCGAGTCTATCGATCATAGTTTTAAAAACCGGACCGGACCGGCCGGTTCGGACATAGAACCGGTGAACCGGACACCAAACCGGTCCGGTCCGGGCATTCAAACCGCCTTCAACAATGAACCGGTGGGAACCGGTTAAAACCGCCGGATCCGGTTTTTCAAATATTTTATGAAGAATCTTAAAAAATGCACACCTGGGGGTTCGATCACAGGACTGCATGGGAGAAAGGAACCTCTCCAAGCCATCTCTGCTATAATGCTTCGTAGGAACTTTCAACTATTTGTTTTTTATATTCTTTATTCAAATTTTTTATCAAATACTTTTGAAGTATATATAGTTTTTTTTACTAAAATTCAAAACCCATTGAGGTAATTGATATGGAGTGCATATCACACAAATATTTTATATATATTTTTAAATACTAGATAAAATGTTTAAAAAAATTCAAATCACTTTTTATTTCTAAGATTTTTTAAATAAGTTTTATTTTTTATTTAATGAAACAACTCAAGTAAATTAAGTTAAATTATAAATTTAGTAAAACATCAATTCTTTATTTATAAATAGAGGAAATATTATTTTATTAATCATATATTAGTTTTTTTAATTCAATGCCACAATGTGTGTGTGTGTGTGTGTGTGTGTGTGTGTGTGTGTGTGTGTGTATTTATTTATTTATCTATCTATTTATTAAAAAATGTTTGAACCACCGGTTCAACCACTCGAACCACTGGTTCGACCAGTAAACCAGTGCCTTGACCAGTTCGATCACCAGTTCGGTTCTGAAAACTATGCTATCAGTATACAATAACTAATTATAATACATTATTTAATGGCTGGGTTTGTCATCTCTTGTTTCACTATTTTTAAGTGGTCAAGATTGAAAATTATACAATGCATTTAATTAATTAGAGCATCAAAGTGTGACTTAATCGTTGTTATGAATTTTGATCCACCGGGGTATGTAGTATTATGAATTGAAATATATTATCGGATAATAATATACTCCTCCGTCCCACAAAAAAATTCCCATTTTGATGTTTTTTTCGGTCAAACAGTTTCACGTTTTGACCATAAATTAAATATAATCTTAATAAAGAAATGCTAAAAAAATTTGAGATATCAAAACTACGTAGTAGATCCTAAGATGAATCCAATTATATTAAATTTATTTTATAATTCAATATACCTTTCTCAGAATTTGTAGTCAAAGCGTGTAAATAGTTAACTAAGGCTCCGTTCTGTTCAACTTATTTTTTCTTAGATTTTCTTATTCTTATTAAAATCAGATCCGATCAAACCAGATCAGATCCAATCTGATCAGATCCAGTCTGATCAGATCAGATCCAATCAAATCATATCAGACCAGATCCAATCAAATCAGATTCAATCAGATCAGATCCAATCAGATCAGATTCAATCAGATCAGACCAGATCTGATCAAGAATTATTATTATTATTATTAAACTTTAGAAACAAGTTAATGAAAAAATTTGAGAAAGTAATCCTTAATTAATAGACGTCATAAAAATTATTTTTAAAATACATTGACAATTTTAATCTAATTCTACTTTTAAAATACATTTTAATTGCTACTTTTAATTTGAGTTTCTAACGTTTTGATATTTTATAAGGATGAGATATTTTAATAAAAATACAATCTCTTCTATATAATGATTATCTAAATTTAATTACTTTTTAATATATATATATATATATATATATATATATATATAAATTAAATATTTATTCTAATGTATATATGAAGTAATTATTAAAATATGAAATTAATATTCTAATTTCACAAAAAAATATTCATAAGATAAAAAGTATTATTACATGATAGTATGAATGATCAATCTAATATATGAATTACGTAATTTTACTTTATTAAAAAAATCATAAAATGAAAAATATTGATTATATTATAATATAAATTATTATTATAATTTGAATTTTAAATCAAATCATAATTAATCAGATCAGATCCAATCAGATCAGATCAAACCAGGTTGGATCAGAACTTCAAAAAATCGGATCAGATCAGAAAAAATAAGTTGAACAGAACGGAGCCTAAATACTATTCAAAATGGGAACTTTTTTGTGGGACGGAGGGAGTAATAAATATTGATGAACACAAGATATTTTAGATGTTAGTATGAATAAAAAGAAAGGGGTTTTTTTTGAAACAATAGTAGGTGGGCTTTGTTTCAAAAGGGGGGGGGCATGGGTCTAAAAAATCTAGTCGATTGGAACAAAGCTTGCTGTCTAAGACTTATTTGGAGTGTGGCTAATATCAAAATTATATGGTTAAAATAGGTTTATGTCAAGCACCTCAAAGAGAAAACCATTTGAGAGTACACACTTAAATAGAATAGTTGTTTCTACTCGAAAAAACTTATCCAAGTTAGAAATCTCTTTATGCACCCTAATGCCATATATTCCATCAAAGAGGGCTAGAAATGGCTAATAGTTTCAAGGAGCCTGAGACTAAATAAAACTGGTCCCCTCTAGTCTAGTGCAACTGGGTACCCAAACACTAGTTTATTTCATGGCTTATCTAGAAGGGAAGAATAATGACTAAGTCTAGACGGGGCAAATTTATTCAAATGGATGCCCAATATTCAATGTGTGGCAAGAAAGAGGAAACCACAAGACCATTTATTCTACAAGTGTCCCTACTCTAAGGGTCCGTTTGGTATACGGAATTGATGGAATTGGAATTGAACTGGAATTGAAATTCCATGGGATTCAATTCCATAAAATTGAATTCTGCCAATTCCAATTCATTTTTTGCACCATCATTTCCAAATCCACATAATTTTTGTGCTACCAAACACCAGAATTGGAATTGAAGCCCTGAATTCCAATTCCATAGTTTGAATTCCATGTACCAAACGAGGCCTAGGAAAATTTATGCTTTAATCAAAGACTAGTATAGATATGATATTGCAGCTAACACTATTGCTGAATTGAAGACCAGAATGAAAAAAATAGGAAGGCTATTGCTCTACCCATTCATGCAAGATGCTATGTAATCTGGAAAGCGAGAAATCATAAAATTCACAATAAACTTACCTTGACAAGAGGATGTTACAAGAAATATGTGGTTTTAGGCAAAATACATACATACATACATACATACATACATACATACATACATACATACATACATACATACATACATACATACATACATACATACATACATACATACATACATACATACATACATACATACATACATACATACATACATACATACATACATACATACATACAAA